AAATATAATCTAAACCCAATTTAAATTTAAATTTTATTTGGATCGGCATGAAACCGAGCTTGACCTGAGGAGGTATAGTGTTATGAAAGTGAAAACACTTAAAAAATAATATTATAAAAGAAAAATGAATAATAAAGTCAATGAGCCAAGATGATTGATTTAAAGTGGGCTAAAATGACAGAAAATAGTTAATGAAAAAAAAATCTTAAAATAAAGATTAATTCTAACTCTAGTACACTTTTATATGATAAAAGCATCCATGTTAGTTCTAACTCGCTCCATGTTAGTTTTAACTCACCGCGTGTTAGTTTTAACCCGTCACATGTTAATTCTAGCTCTGATTCATCTTAATTCTAGGCTCTTGAGCTCTCAAGTTAGTTCTAATTTACCCATGTTAGTTTTAACTCACCTGCATGTTAGTTCTAACCCGTCTCATATTAGTTTTAATTCGCCCCATGTTTTAAAGTGGGCTAAAACGAGCCAAGATGATTGATTAGTTCTAACTCGCCCAATGTTAGTTTTAACTCACCGTATGTTAGTTCTAACACGTCCCATGTTAGTTTTAATTCACCCCATGTTTTAAAGTGGGTTAAAACGAGCCAAGATGATTGATTAGTTTTAACTCGCCCATGTTAGTTTTAACTCACCGTATGTTAGTTTTAACTCACCGTATGTTAGTTCTAACACGTCTCATGTTAGTTCTAGCTCTAATTCATCTTAATTCTAGGCTCTTGGGCTCTCAAGTTAGTTCTAATTCACCCCATGTTAGTTCTAATCTGTCTCATGTTAGTTCTAACCCGCACCATGTTAGTTCTAGCTAGTTCTAGTTCTAATTCATCTTAGTTTTAGGCTCTTGGTAGGGATGGCAAATGGATGATTATGGTTGGATTTTGGTTGGGTCATAAATGGGTGGGCACATTTATGACCACTTAACCATTTATGACCCATTTAGCACTTGTTAAATGGGTTGGTTCTCATCCACCCATTTACTAAATGGGTGGTTCATGGGTAACTCAATAACCCATTTAGTTATGATTATGATGCTTCTATATATATGTAAGTTTCAGATATCTACTTGTAAACTTTCAGGGGTTTTTGGCAAACTTTTAGGGGGGTTTCCTGTAAATTTTTAGGGCATTTTCTGCAAACTTTTAGGGGGTTTTCTGCAAACTTTTAGGGGGTTTTCTGCAAACTCTCAGGGGGTTTTCTGCAAACTTTCAGGAGGTTTTCTGTAAACTTTTAGGGGGTTTTTTGCAAACTTTTAGGGGGTTTTCTGTAAACTTTCAGGGGGATTTCTGTAAACTTTTAGGGGTTTTCTACAAACTTTTAGGGGTTTTATGTAAACTTTCAGGGGGTTTTCTGTAAACTTTTAGGGGGTTTTCTATAAACTTTTAGGGTTTTTTTTGCAAACTTTTAGGAGGTTTTTTACAAACTTTTAGGGGGTTTTCTGTAAATATTTCTTTCTCAATTGAATCGACTACCTGGGAAAATTAGGACAGAATTGTGAGCAAAAGAAGCAAATGATGACGGGGCTGAGCAAAAGAAGAGATGGACTCGTAACAAGTCTAGTTTACTACCTGCTCGGTTATTTTAAAAAAACCCTTACTTTGGTCATGTGGCAAATTACACTTGGCCGCACACGTATATATCTCCTGCCGACGAAGAATTGTGAGCGCATACTTTTTATATTTATATATCATTGAGGGTGTTTTTTATAATTTTTAAAAGTTTGAGGGTGTTACTTACAAATTTGATATTTATAGGGGACTACCAAATTTTTTTAGATTTCATGTGTCATTTGCAAGTTTAGAAAATTCTAAGATTGTTTTGTAGTTTTGAACTCTTGAGGGTGCTTTTTGCAAGTTTTAAACTTTGAGGGTGCTTTTTATAAATTATAAATTTATAGGGGGCTGCTAGTAATTTTTGGATTTCATGTGTCATTTGTAGGTTTTAAAATTTCAGGATGGTTTTGTAATTCAAAACTATGGAGGGTGTTTTTCTTAAAATTTAAAACTTTGAGGGTGTTAATTGCAAATTTTAAATTTATAGGGGACTATTGAAATTTTTTAGATTTTATATGTCATTTGCAAGTTTAGAAAACTCTAAGATTGTTTGGTAATTTTGAAGTCTTGAGGGTGTTTTTCTCATTTTCTACAACTTCTAAGGGTATTTTTGTAAATTATAAAATTTTAGGGGGCTGTTGGTAATTTTTGAATTTCATGTGTCATCTGTGAGGTTAGAAAATTTTGATAGTTTTTTTTATAATTTTTAACTCTTGAGGTCGTTTTTATAATATTTTAAACTTTAAGGGTGTTTTTTGCAAATCATAAAATTTTAAGGGGTTGTTAGTCATTTTAAGCGTTTTATATAATTTTTAACTTTTAAAAATAAGTTTTGTAATTGTTTAAGCGTTGAGGGTGTTTTTAAAATAATATCCATCTAAACGGGTAAATGGATGGGTAATAACACACCCATTAATGACTCATTTATCTTTAATAGAAACTATACTCACCCATTTATAGCCCATTTAACTAAATTGGTGGGTTTGGATGGTTCATTTGGCGGGTGGGTATGGGTAGGCAATTGGTTTTGGGTCCATTTTGTCATCCCTAACTCTTGGGTTCTCAAGTTAGTTATATATCTAATTCATCTTAATTCTAAGCTCTTGGGCTCTCAGGTTAGTTCTAACTTGCCCCATGTTAGTTCTAACTCACCCCATGTTAGTTCTAGCCCGTTCAATATTAGTTCTAGCTCTAGTTCATCTTCGTTCTAGGTTCTTGAGCTCTCATGTTAGTCCTAATTCATCCCATGTTAGTTTTAACCCATCCCATGTTAATTCTAGCTAGTTCCAGCTCTAATTCATCTTAGTTCTAGGCTCTTGGGTTCTCAAGTTGGTTCTAACTCGCCCCATGTTAGTTCTAGCCTTCCCCATATTAGTTCTAACTCTAATTCATCTTAGTTCTAGGCTCTTGGTCTCTCATGTTAGTTCTAACTCTAATGCATCTTAATTCTAGGCTCTTGGGCTCTCATGTTAGTTTACTATTTCCAGGAAAAAGTTAATGAGTTCTCATAAATGAAGTTTTTTGAGTACGTGATAGGACTATACAATTAGCATATGCATAAAAATTGTTGTAGCTTGAATAAAGCTTGAATAAAGTCTACTCCGACCAATTCATTGCCCAAGAGCACAAGTCCAAAAGAGAGGAATTCAAAGGTTTAGATGCAAGCTTAAATAAAGTTTTGATTAATTACCATCAGAATCAACATCACTTTGTTCTCCTGAATATTGAAAAAGCCAAAAAAGTATTTGTTGTTGTGAAAGTTGATGCTGGACACAATCAACATGGGATGCGATATATGTTAGTCTAAGTTGTTGAAGGCCTGTAGCTTCTTCTTGGCAAACATCCGGGTTGATGGCGAACTCGAGGGCGAGGCAGTTAGCGACAGTGAGGAACTCCGGAGTAGTCGAGGATGAGGCGGGGAGCGGCGGTGAGCAACGGCGACGAGGTAGGATGGAGGAGAGGAGAGGAAGTGGCTGGGAACTCGAGGGCCCAACTCGCGGGCTAGGGCGCGGATCTGGAGCCCGACGTCGTCGTGAAGGGCGTAGTCACGGGCAGGAATGAGGCTTGAGAGCTTGAGAGAGAGATCGAGGAGAGAGGAGATGACAGAGAGAGAGAGAGAGAGAGAGAGAGAGAGAGAGAGAGAGAGAGAGAGGGGAGGGGAGGGGAGAGAGGGGGGGGAGAGAGAGAGAGAGAGAGAGAGAGAGAGAGAGAGAGAGAGAGAGAGAGAGAGAGAGAGAGAGAGCTTGAGAGAGAGAGAGGAGAGAGGAGATGAGAGAGAGAGAGAGAGAGAGAGAGAGAGAGAGAGCTGGGTTTGAGGGTTGAGGAGAGTGGATAAGGATATTTTGGGGATTTTAGCTTAGTTGTCATGTAATAATTGCTAAAAAGGGGCTGCAACACAAAGTGTCACACTTCAAGGGACTGAATCACATGGAGGAAACTAGGAGGGGCTGCAGTACATGAAGTTTACACTTTTGGGACCTGGACACATTTTTCCCTTCATATATAGAATATAGTGAGTTAATTTAATTAGCTCGTTATCTTCAGACAAAATTTGTCCTATTAGCATCACATGCATGTTGCACTTTCTCTCGTCATTGCACCAGCATCCCCACTATTATTCCACCTGTGAATGCACGGAATGGTTTTTTTATCACTTACATCCTTACGTATTTATTAAATTTGCGAATATATTATTATTGTTCTATATTTCTATCGTGTAACATTCTCAGGCAAGGTATGTATGTCCTGAGAGTCAATGTTAACTAGGGTTGACGAAAAGACAGTCATCCCTTGCAAAAATCGTTCTCAGATCATCACGGCTGCCCTCAAAATTGTATTATATATTCGCTCTCTTTACCCCTTACTTTAACTTTAGTTGAAAAATAAAAGAAGCAGGCCCACTCATGTGAGCACGGACATAACGCTTGTGTATGTTATAAACAACAAGTTAAGAATGATTAGGAGTCGATCGATGAGAGGATATCGATTTTGAGACGGGTGGTATCTGCTTGACGAGAAGATCATAGACAGACATGAATTTATCAATATGCATATACGCATGTGTGTGTTCAATTCATGAGTTTCTCCAAAATATGCATATATTAAAACATTGTTACTACAGAGGGCCTTTCTCAAATTAACCTTTTTATTAATAAAAAAATACACAACAATCGCGTAGGGGTTTTTGAGCAAATGAAAATGATCAATCCTGAGGGAAAGCATGGAAACGTAATAGCATAAGAAAGAAAACATGTTAAAATGGCTTTTAACAAAAATTAATTAATTAGTCCAGGTCCACTCACCCCCACTCCCTAACGTCTCCTGGTCTTCACCAGGAGTACGTAGTCCAGCGAAGCTCACGTCGAATTCAGTCGGAGACCAGACTCTCAATCATCGATCTACCAGCCACGGGCCCCCCACCAATCATCACGATTGGAGGGAGGGCCCACCGAAACGCATATGATTCCCGGTCCCACTCCACGTAGCTGGGCTGATGCTGCCGGATGCTAATATTTTCCCTGGCTATCACCTCCGATTAGTCAACCATAATCTCACTCTTCAAAAACGAGATCATAAATTCTCCGCCCATAACACACCTCCACTGAAACACGCCTGCTATCTCTCTCTCGTGTTCTTTTGTGTGTATGTATGTATGTATGTAAGTAAGACGAGTCCTCAACGTACGTACGAAATCAGCCACCGGAAAATTAAATTAAATCCCTGCAGGACCTCCTCTCCATGGCTCCCTCTGTACGATCCGTATTCATGATCAGAATTAGATCCGTATGGGCGCGTCTCATACTCCTCCTCCTCTCCGACAGACTCCGACTATGCTTCTTCTCCAAACTCCACGCTCTCCGCGCCTGTTTGCTTGCCTCCACCTCCTACCTCCGCCGCATGCTCGTCCAACGAAAAAACCTCGGCTGGATCCAACTGTCTTACTTTCTCTTCGAATCTATCCTCGGCTTCCTCCTCCTGAGATCCCTCGACCCAACCACTCGCCGGAAAACAGACCTCGACCTCTTCTTCATGTCAGCCTCAGCAGCCACAGATTCGAGCATGCTGACGGTCGAAATGGAGGCCTTCTCACACCCCCAGCTCCTTGTCTTGGCCCTCATGATGCTCTTCAGCGGCGAGGTCTTCACCTCTCTTCTTGATCTCCAGCTCCTCAAATGCGAGCTCGTCAGGAAGCGGGGGAAATCAAACATGAAGACGGTCACGGTTGACGTAAGGAGCTCCTCAACCGACGTCGACGATGGTAGTACCCAAAGCCAAATCGAGTTGGTGATCGTTGAATTACCCAACTCCGCGTGTTTCAAACCCAGCCCTGTAACCCAATCTGAGGATCAAGCCAACAACGAGGTGCCGCGGGTTCTGAGCTACGTCATCCTCGGCTATCTTCTACTGTCTCATCTCCTCGGCTCCGTGTCAATCTTTGCCTATCTTAGCCTTGTTCCAAGCGCTAGAGAGGTGATCAGGAGCAAGGGGTTCGATCATGCATTGCCCTTTTCAATCTTCATGACGATCTCGTCGTTTGCCAACGCAGGGTTCTCTCCCCTCAACGAAAACATGATGCCCTTCAAGAGAAACCCCGGCATGCTGTCCATCTTCATCCCCCTGCTCCTCGTGGGCAACACTCTGTTCCCAGTCTGCTTGAGGTTGGCTGTCGAGATGCTGAAGAGCTTCACGAAGAGAGAAGAATTTGATTACCTGCTGAAGAACAGCGAAAAGGTCGGGTTCCATCACTTGCACTCCCGCCTCAGTTCCGTCATGCTGTTCATCACGGTTGTCGGGCTTGTGACGGTCCAGACCGCCTTCTTTTGCTTCATGGAGTGGAATTCGAAGCCGCTGGATGGTTTGAACCCCTACCAGAAACTCGTGGGTTCTCTGTTTCAGTCGGTAGATGTACGGCACGCTGGTGAATCCCTCTTCGATCTGTCCCTCCTCTCGCCTGCGATCTTGGTCTCCTACGTCGTGTTGATGTCAGTAGTCTCAGTTAATTTCCCTCAGTTTTTTAATTCTATTTTTTCCATGCGGCGTAACCAATTCATTAGGCTAATTAAGGTACGTGCCAACATTTAATTCAGGTATCTTCCTCCGTACACATCATTTACGCCGATGGAAGAAGAAGAAAGAAGCGGTACTCCGACCGTGATTACCAAAGAAAAGAAGAGCCAGCGGGGCCTAATTAAGAGCCTTCTCATGTCACAACTCACATACTTGGCCATCTCAATTATCCTCATCTGCATCACGGAGAGAGAAAAGCTCACTCGTGATCCTCTAAATTTCAACGTGTTGAACATAACCATCGAAGTGATCAGGTTAGCTAGCTACAAGATTTCTATCATTCTTTACCTACCGGTTTCTGCTCTGACATGAGTTAAAATGAAATATGAAACTTAATGCAGCGCGTTCGGAAATGTGGGATTCTCGACTGGTTACAGCTGCGATCGACAGCTGAAGCCCGACGAGAATTGTAAAGCTCGATGGTACGGGTTTGTGGGAACGTGGAGCAGCCAAGGGAAGTTCATTCTAATAGCTGTCATGTTCTTCGGAAAACTTAAAAAGTTCAGTAGGAAGAGTGGTAAAGCTTGGAAGTTAAATTAAAACAAGCAAGCTTAATTAATTAAGCACGCTAGCTCATCGATATTCCTTGGCCCCTTGCGATTGAAGTAATTACCTTTGATCAGCTATTGTACGTTTGTGTATATGTATACGTATAGCATGAGAAATTAGACCACATTCTTCAAAGCAAACTGCTTTTTTTTTAGAAAATGTGGTGCGTGGGAAGAGGAGCTCCACAAGTAGGGTTTTATCCCTCAAGCAAAAATAGAGATTTTGATTTTGATTTTGATTTTTTTTGGGTGGATCATATGAGGTATTAAGGTATGTGGCAAGAGAAAAAGTAGGTAGACCCCCTATACAACTGCGCAGTATTCGTGATTTGAGTGGTGGGAATTGCAGTGGTAGAGAGCATTATCTCAAAAAAAAAAAAAAGGAGATGTTCAAAGTATGCATTACTGAAACAAGCTTTAATATTGGCCCCTCTAACCTTTTGATAGGTTAATGTTAGAAAACAAAGAAAAATTAGTGGCTTTATACAAATAATTGATGTATCCTAATGGCCATACCAAACTCCAGCCTATATATGTTGACTGTCCACAAACACAAATTTTATGATGTATTATTATTGCAAGAGAATAAGGATGGACAGGTTGTATTCTAGGGTAATTTTAATACCAAAAATCTCTAGCGCTAGAACCAGAGTTTTTCTTTTTTTTTAAAATCCAGATGCCACTCATGTTTCTTTTATTAAGAAATAAGGATCTTCACCAAATTTGGTAAGCGATGACACGTTAGGAGCGCGAGAGGATAAATAATATTTTCTGGTAGATCAGTTACATCAAAGAGAATCTGTGTTAATGTTGAGACGGATGCAAGAACAAAAGAAACAAAGAAAAGAAACCAACAATTTATACTGAAAACTACATTGAAGAAAAAGACGATGGTGATGATAAAATAATTAGTTTTGCAAGACGCAAACAAAATCTAAGAAGAAAGACACCATCCATAACAGATTTGTCCTGCAGGCACACAAACAAATAATAAGTCATGTGTATTTATATTGAGATGAACTACAATCCACTTGAGTGGATAAAGAATCATGTCCTCCTAGTTTTTTCTCTATTGATTTTGCATTGGGATCTGTGAAAGATATGAAGATCATTTTTGAGATTTGTGTATCCCTTGATAGCACAAATCTTAACACAAAATGAATGGATAAAAAGTTAGGAGGACAATGGTTGTTATCTGGATTGTAGCTCATCTCTATTTATATTTACTAAAATATTTTTAAAAAGACCTAATCGAGCCCCAGCGGGATCCGTCATGAGCCCAACAAATTTACAAATTACGGCCCCTTGTTCTATATATCTCCTTTTTTGGGGTCTATCACCTAAAGTTAAATATCAACTGGTACAAAATTTACCAATTTTCAGCATGATCATTTTCTTTTAGGCTGTGGAAGATCACATTTCAATGATCTGGCCCGGGGGTTTATGCCTCACATTTTTCCTCCCAAAAAAAAAGTATCAACACATCAAATAATGTGAAACATTATTACAACTATAGTAACTATCTGACTTAGTTAGAATGCCTTGCAGGAAAGAACTAGGTGGCCTGATAACAATTTTTTATGATATGAGGGACTGATTGGAAAATATGAAAGATTTAAAAGGGCCTAGTATTGGGGGGGAACCCTAAAATTAAACAACAAAAAGATGAAGGGGACGCGGCCCATTGGGCCTACGCTTATCTTAGGTCCAGAAGGCGTGTAAGTGTGCAACGAAGCCTGGCCTGTATGCAAGCAAGACAGAGCGGCCCAATGAAACCCCAACCCAGTATATATACCAAAGCATAGAGGCGGAATCATCAGAGGCGCTGTGCTTGGTTAGGGTTTCTTCTCTCTCTCTCTCTGTATATCTCTTGTCAGGCGGCGGCGGCGGCGCGAATCAAAGATCGAGAAAGCAGCAACATGGGAGTGTACACCTTCGTTTGCCGGAGCAACGGTGGGGAGTGGAGCGGGAAGCAGCCCGCCGCCGCCGCCGATTCCTCCTCCGGCGTTTCCTCTTCCTTTTCCTTGATCACCCCTTCCTCCGCCGTCTTCCAGGTTTTACTTTCATTTTCTTTTCCATCCTTTTTTTTTATTTATCTATTAATAGAATCCAACACGCGGAAATCGGAACCCAAAAATGAAAATCCGAACCGGATCTGCTACACATGAGCTAGTTAGAAACAAAATTTTAGATGATTACAATGTATCTTGAATTATATATCAAGAGGCGAAGATTAACCAACTTCATGAAAATTCTGAAATGTTGATTTTGATGGCATATTTTGCGTGGATTAATGATGATAAAATCATTTAAAATTTTGTTTCTAACTAGTTCATGTGTGGTAGATCACACATCTACCGGTTCGGATTTTTACTTTTGGACCCAAAGTTGGATTGGATTACACTTTAATTAGGACAAAAGTTCCAATTTTTTGACCATTGGGATAAAAGTTATAGAATCCAAATTAAGATGACTCTTCAGTTTGCAGTTCGTGGGTTCCTGCAAATATTTTGATTGCACTACAATTCTTTGATATTATATTAAATTGATCCTACATTTTACCCACCTGATTGATCATTCTTATTTGCTTCCACTTAGTCATTGAAAATTGGAACCCCGGCTATTATCCTACTTAATGTCCTCAATCTCTAAAACCTTCAAAACCCTTGCCCATCGTAAAGAAGTCTGAATAGTCATGTATGCATCAAGGCATTTCAAAAGCGCATATCGACGGTTAGTGCATTGTGGATGCAAACTCCAAAAAAAGCCTTCGAAAGTATATAATGCTGATAAAACATGAAGGGGTATTTATGTGCGACGATAAGGAACAAGCTTAGAGTACCGTTCTGCTACTTAGCCCCTGCTCGGCAAGTCTTAAGCGATACAAAGACTATTAAAACTTTTTACCATTTTCTAGATTGCGTTAATCCACCAGTTCCGATCATCTTTTGTAAACATAAGACCTGGTCTTTATCTTAACTAGAAAGAGAAAAAAGGATTCGTGCAACCGACTTGGAATCAGAATAAGAGCTTGTGGATGGGGATGATGATTAATTGAAGTGTTCATCGTACAAAAAGCTCAAAATCGACGGCCTGAATATAGTTATTTTTGTTTTCTTGTTGTTAATTATTAAGTTTTAAGATGATATTCATTTTAAGGACGTTTGCTTGTTAAATTATAATTCGAAGCTGTTAATGGTGTAGGTGGTCATCGGTGGAGGCGGTGGCGGAG